CCTCCCTTTGGTGCCAGGGAGGCCTCCCCTGTACGTGGCAGGAGCTCTCCGGAGGGTGGCTCCAGAGGGTGAGCTGTGCCTGTGGCAGGTGGAGGGTGCCCAAGCCACAGAGACAGGGCAAGGAAGAGCCTGTGGGGAGACCCAGCCCTGCGTGCAAGGCCTGCAAGGAGAGCCTTCCCCCCACCCCTGGGTGCCCCCTGGCCTGGGAAGAGAACTCCTAGGGCCTCGCCTCATTGGCTGCTTAGCTCCCCCCACCCCCCAGAGCAGCTGTTTGTTCTGCTGGCCAATCAAGAGCCAGGGAAGAGGGTTCTGTCATCAGCTGGGGCAGGGCAGGGGTCCCCGTGGGGGGGGCAGCTGGCCTGCCACCCTGCTCTCCCACCTCTCCCCCTCCTCTCCCCCTGGACCACCACACCCCCCCAGACCCGGCCTGGCCATGGTGCTGGAACTCTACCTGGACCTGCTCTCCCAGCCCAGCCGGGCCGTTTACATCTTTGCCAAAAAGAACAACATCCCTTTCATAATGAAGAGCATTGAGATGTTGAAAGGTAAAGCTCTCTCAATCTCTCTCTCTCTCTCTCTCTCTCTGGGTCCCAAAGGAACATGAAGGGCGGGGGTGAGCGGGTGGGTGTTCTGCTGGGCAGCCCCAGTAATGCCCGGAAGGGCGCGGGCCGGCCTCTTTCCTCCCTGACAGGGCAAATGTTCAGCGAAGAGTTTAACAAGGTGAACATCCTGCGGAAAGTGCCAGTTCTGAAAGACGGAGACTTCACCTTAGAGGAAAGGTGAGCGGAGGGCCAGGCCGGGCCGGGCTGAGGCCAGGTGGGGTTGGAGAGAGGCCAGGTGCCCCCCCCTCCCGCTGCTCTGCCGTGGGGGTTGCTCAGTTACCCTGACGACCTAAGGGATCGGTCATCTCATCAGCCCAGGCAGGCCCTCCAACGACCCCCCACCACCACCTGCCTGCAGATTTGCGTTTGGGGCTCAGGTGAGCTCAGCTCCAGGCGGCAGACCCACGGCCCGCTGCTGGGGCCAGACCCCCCACTCTGCCAGCCTTTGAGGGGCAGCAGCCTCCGCCGGGTGCCTCTGCCAGCCACCTGCTGGCTTCCCTGGGGGAATCTTCTGGATCCTCCTCCTGCCAGGGCCAAGGTGAGCAGGGGAGGCTCGT